GGAAGAAGAGTGGGAGGATACGAGGGTAGATTGGTGGTAATTTGGTCAATCTTTGCTTAATGAGGGGCGCTTGAGTTTTTATTTTCTTTCGTTTCCATTGGCTTTTTTCCATCAAAAATAATTAARGTCTGCACATTTCTTTCTTTCAGAGCAACATTTTGTCGGCTTCAAGGTGGAATAAAAAAACTTGATGCCTTCTTTGATGCCATGACAACACAAGGAATTTTACTGAATTGAACCCGTGACCAATCAGGACCTTAATGTTCACAACGAAAGAACGGCAGGGGGACGGCGATGGTGAACAGAGCAAACTCTGATCACCTACTGTGTGCGAGCATGTAGAAATACAAGAAGACGTGGTCACACTGAAATGAGTTTGAATTATTTTGTAAATAGAGGCACAACTGTGAGTTTTATTAGCTCATCGCATCAAATGAACGACTTGTGCAGGTTTAGCTTATAGGCAGGCAAATAGACTTCAGAGCAGATTACCACCAGCTGAAGGATCCTCGACTCATCTTATGGTTACAGACACCCGACAGACCACACAGCAGACAGTCCTGCTGGAAACCCTGTTGGGGGTCCTGAATACCCTCTCTCCCCCGTTGTGCAGCCTGGGATTACGAAGGTGACATTGGTGCAGAGAACAGAGGGTTCAACTCACCTCGTTACGAAGAAAGAAGCCTAAAYCAGTATGTTTGGGGTCACTGCTGATGTTCTTACAGTTTCTATTTGACTGAAGACAAATAGTAAAGTCATCTGAAGACTTGGAGATAGATGGCCCACATGAGTTATCTTGAACGGGAATGATAAAAGTTTTTAAAGTCTAAATGCTTTTGTGATCACACTCAGGTCCAACGATAAAGTCATTAGAGTGACAGACCACTGGGATTTGGAGAGGTCTGGCCTAATGGAGAATCTAAAGTGGTACCAGGCAGGCGGGCGACTGCAATAAATAGTGCTGGGAGACCACAGACTGAGCATTAACGACAAAACTGCCTGTCCTGGTTAGAGGGCACTTCTTGCATACCTCTCCCTGAGGGAATCTCTGGTTACAGCGAGCACATTTCACTACCGCTGATACAACTTTACAGCCTCAACAGACAATGGTTTCTTTTCACAGTAATGTAAAATCTGATCAACATTTTCAACTAGAGACAACATTTTTCTCGTCAGATTAAAGGGCATACAAGTAAAAAGTTCGGAGCAACTTTAAAGCTCGGCTAACACAAAGTGCCATATGTTAAAGCCTCATAATCTCATTGCAGAAAGCCTGAAGGACTAGCCTTTTTTTTAGAGTTCAGGCAATATAATCAGCATGAGGTTTAAATGAAACAAGAAGTTTTTTTTTGTTTCCTCAGAGTTAAGTTATTTTGAAAGCAAATAAAAATCAAAGGCATTGCTAAATGAAACATACATTAAAAAACGGGGTCGAAGAACTTTGCGTGAGTTTCAGCCTTTAATAAACTAAAAGCTATCAGCTKAATAGCAACCATATGGAAAATAATYATGTGGTATCATCAGACAGTGRTCCTTCAAGTGATCCTTTGTGCAAATTTCAAGGGGAGGGACTTATGCATATTCAACTCTTTTAAGCTTTATATCACGTTGTAATGTCATCCCATCATTACAAACATACCCAGAGTGTTGCTTTCACTCAATRATGTTTGAGAAATTGCCATGTGGAGCTGCCTAAATGCTTGCTGGTACATAGCCRCGCCCATTTGAACAGAGCTCCCGCCCCACAGAGCACCCCTCCCCCGAAGCATTGTTGTGACGATGTGCTGAAGTGGGAGTGTCAGAAACGGCAGGAGGTTCTCAAAGGGGCAGTATTATGTGTTTCTTAGGCATATATTTAAATTATATAACATAATAAAGTATCTATGTCACCTTTAGTTTTTATTAAAATGCTGTTCATATGCTTAAAAAGAAAARAAACTGGACTTCTCATCATATCTGTTTCTAAACGCCTTGAAATTGGCCTCTGTCTCTTTAAGAACCTCSTTCCACTTCTGTCCCACCCATTTCAGCACAGGGCCGGGTGTGTGTGCTCTGTGATGAGGAAACTCAGCTTGGAGACACAGTCCAGAGGAGGAGCTGATACCAAAAGGCGGTTCTAGTCCCAACCGGTCGTTCTTGCATCCCTGCCTGGCTGCCTCAGGACACTACAGGATTTCTCAAACATACATGAATGAGTCAAAGCAAGACTCTGGYCATGTTTTTGCTGAGACGATAGCATTACTCATTGATATAAAGCTCAAAACAGTTGATTTTACATGATATTGCCCCTTTAAATAGAGGCCAATTTCAAGGCATTTAAATAGGCTTTGATGCAAAGTCAAATTTATTTTTGATACAGCATTTTTATAAAAATAGAAGGTAACAGAGTTACTTGATTGTGGCATATTGAAATATGTGCCATGAAAAATAAATTACCCCCCACAAAAAATAAAATAAATAAAATAATAAAAAAGCAGTTTTTTGCTTGATCCACAAAAACAAAACAAACAAAATAAAATGGCTGGAATGAATCAAAATTTTGGTTTCTTATCCCTGCTGCGTTTGAATAAAAGAAAGTGTGGAATCTGCCTCGTTATAGCAGAGAAACATGCTGAGAAATGTTTAGTCACGCAGTGTTTTGACTACAACTGTATTCAGATGGAGAAGTGCAGCCACAAGATTAGGCCACTGTGATGCTGATTTACAGGAAAAAACACATCAGACTCTGACAGCAGCTAATCCAATAATTAGATTTGACCTTACAAGCTCAGGGTGTGTGTGCGTTTTGTTGCACGAACTGGTAGTTTGGGAGAAAAAACATCTGCATTGATTTCAAGTATTAACTCTGTGTTGTTTTTGAAGTTACATAACTCTAACTGGTCCCACACAAAACCACAGGCTTTTTCAGGAAGAGGGATTAGAGCTAAATAAACCATGTCAGCACTTATTACATTATGTCAACACCGAGTCTACAGATTAAACCTTGCCCTTCCTTCAGGATTAGGATTAAGGTTTTTACGATGGTCAATAAAAGATTAAGAGACAGAGAGGAGGGCAATCAGCCTCTGGAACAAAGATGGGTTAAAAGGGATTTTGTTCTCGTGGCTTATTTTTTTAAATTCCAGAATTCGTTCATTTTTATCCTTTTTTTTCTCTCCAAATCATTTTAACAAGATCCTTCACTTGTTGCAGAGACTCATCCCTGACCCAGAGGGACCATTTTACCTTTTTTCYGTTGCGAACCACGGCTTCAGAAGAGCTGACTTGCATCCCAGCTGCTTCACGCTCAGCTGCAAACTGCCACAGTGCACGCTGAAGGTCATGGTCCAAAGACACCAGCAGAACCATATCATCTGCAAAAAGCAGAGATGAGACCCTGAGGTTCCAAAACCAGATCCTGTGAGTTGAGATCCTGTTCGGAAACACCACAAGCTGGATCAGAGACTAGAGAAAGCCATGGTGGAGTCCGYCCTGCTCTGAGAACTCGACCTTGTGCTGAGAATGAGGGCATGGTTTAGAGACCGGATACCCATAAAAGTGACCTGGGCACCTCAGACTACAGAAGCCAAAAACACGTGCTTTCTCCAAATCTATAAAACACATGTAAACTACAATTACGTGTTTAGTATGTTCTGGTATTAATAGAATTTAAAGGGGACACATGATCTGAGACACGCCTCAGGAAAGGGGTGAAAGAGGGGCTTGTGGAGTTACAATAAGGAGGAATTCAGAGCAAAGCATTGCCGTACCACTTTATATAGACCCCAACTGAATAATTTAAATGTGAAAAAGGAATTTAAAGTATGACATGTCTCCTTAAAGGCAAAGTGCAAATAATAAAGAACTAGACCCAAAAACAGAAATTTAAAAAGCAGAAAGTCCAATATGAAGTGAATGGCTGACTCGCAGTTGTTCCTGCAGACACATGCAACACATTTTATCTTTTCTTTGCATAGATTACATGTTGGCACACTAAGACACTTTTTATTGACGTCTTAATGAGYCTACAATTCATCCCACTGCCTCCAGCTAAGGCTAAAAATTCAGAACTAGTGCTTTCTGAACCAAACGCTCCGCTTTTGTTTTCCTTCGCTTTTATTCAGAACGTCTGATTTTATTCCCCGAGCAGTYGCTGTCAAGCGCATGTTTGAAGGCGCTCGATTCTCCGCAATGCCAGGTGTCTATTTTCCTTGTCTCTCCAACCTTCAAACACCAGCAGCCTCCCTTTACAACAGCCCGCAGGGAAATATGCTAACAGTGAATTCTCAGCTGGGAGCCTGGCAATTACAGCACTCCTCCTCTATCCCTTTAATTGCAGAGGGAGCTGCTTCCTGGGTGATCAGACAGCCGGCCTGCCACCAGGGAGACTGGTTTCATCACCTCTGGCAGCCGCAGGTAAATGAAGGTGTTTTGCCATGGAGTTAAATAAAGGTTGTTTGTTAATAGAGCGAATCGATTCATCGCTTTCTCTCAAGGCTTCACTTCTGTTCTGCTGCCGCTGCCTGTGAAACATGAATGATGGAACAGATTGCTCAGAAAGAAGAAAAAAAAAACAAGTTAACCGACAACAAACAGCACTTTCATAAAAGATGATGGACGATAATAGAAGAGGGCATTAAATAGTTGTGAAATTAAAAGAAATGTGTCACGCACAGCAGTAAAATCAGCTTTCTAATGATTTAGTGTTTAAGGCTGACAAAGTGTTAACCATTAAAGCTTTTTAAAGGATATTCTGTCCAGGTCAGAACCCTGCCACCGGTAGCTTCATGGTAACGACACGCTTTCAGCAGTGGCAGCGTGAGGCTGCGAAAGTCGTTAATAGTGCCATGCTAATTAGCACGATAAAGTGCGAGGRAGCAAATTAGACATGCTCTGCCTTTTCCTGCAGAAAAACCACAAATTCAATCAGGTAATTTAAGGTTTAGTAACACAAGTGCAGCTTACTCAACAAATCCAGATCATTTCTGCTGTTTTAAAACAATAAAACACAAACTGCAAAGTACTCTGGAAAAAAAAAAGCATATTTATTTCCAACTTCAAGGAAACCACACAACTGCAGCATTTCACTTGGGTCCCAATCAAAACTGTTAAATCTCAAAGTTTCCACTGCAAGTCAATGCAAACAGCATAAATAGTGCCTCCACGGAAGGGTTGTATCATTACTGAATYACGCTGAACGGTGGTAAAAATGCTGACATAAGCGTGATTTAAAAGGGCTGAATAAAACTCAACCGTAAAATAAAACTGAACTGAAAGACTCAGGCTGATCTGAATTCTGTTCAGGTGTTAATGAAAGTTTAAAAGGACACATTCTCATTGTGGGAACAGGTGTGTTTGACGGCCTCACCAGCAGTTAAAAAAAAACTGCACAGGGTGATCAATGCGAGCAATTTCAGTCCTGATCAATAAATGTGACTCAGTCATGACTTTTTGTTTTTAATAAAAATCGTTTTCTGTATAGGGACTATGAAGCTTGAGCAACACCTCTGTGAAGGAAAACTCATAACATCCTGGCGTTGTAACCGGACTCCCCCTATGGATATAAATACTAGTCAAGTCGGACAAGTCCAGCAGTAATTATATTCTTATATTAACTTAAGWTTGGCTTAAGGCTCAGCCATAAACACTGCACCACTGACGGATAAATGTTTTATTGAGACGCTCGAGAGATCAAGGCGATGCCATCGCTCAGGCCTAATTGACATGATGAGGAGCTATTACCGCATTGATCCACCTGGCAAGTTGCATGGGATCAGCTGAGGCCGGTATCGACCTGACTAAGTGGGCGCACGGTCCTCTGAGGGTCAGGCAAATGCTAAGGGGATATTACCAGTTTGTTGTGGAAGCRGGATTTCATTCGGTTTGAGGTGAAACAAAAGCCAAAAGGATTCCAGACAAACACGGAAGCTCAATAACACCTGTAAAAATAAACAAAAACATAAAGAAATGGTGCTTTAAAAAATAACAAACTGATCAGACAGTTTTGTGACTCAATATCTTAACAATAAATTATCATAAAATAGACTTCTGAGTTTTTTTTACACGCCACTAAATACTGTACATACACTGTATCACAATTTATCCCAGATGATAAAATTATAAAACAGACAAAAGACCAGCATAAGTCTGTAATTATCCCTCCGTTAATCCCAGCCAAAGTCTTGACCTGTCATCTTGTAAAACTTCCTGTTAAAAGGTTTATAGAAGTCCCTTAGACTCTGCACCACCTCCAGATCAATATTAGGATGAGTCCGGCCTTTGGTTTTGCCCAAGCAGTGTGGCTTGCTGTTCCCCTCGGGTCTCTTAAGGCAGGGGAAGCCTTTAGCTGGGTTAAAGTGGAAATACTTCTCCGTGACGACCCTCCTGAGTCCGAGAAAGTCCTGGACGCGAGCCATCTCCCCCGCYGGGTCCGTAATGAGACGCTCGCCGCTAACAAACAGCAGCTGCTCCACGGGGAAGAACTGGAGCCAGCGCTCGAGGTGCTTGGCGTACAAGCCGATCTGAACGGCGCTCCACGTGGTGTCGATCAGACCCGCTGACAGGTTTTTAAAGGTGAGGCTCTCAAAGGAAGGGATGTCCGGCTTCTTGGAGCGCGTCTGGGTGTAGTCCGAGATGGCCCTGGTGACGGGGTCCCGGACCACAACAATCAGTTTGGTGTCTTTGGCCATGGTGTAGATCCGAGCAGGGACTTCCCTTGTGACAAAGTAGCTGGGGGTTTTTTCCATCGTCAGCTGACCTTCTGATGACTTGGGCATCAAGTCCCTGCAAATTAAAGAAAGAAATAATTTTACATTTGATCCGCTGATGACATATGACTAAAAACATCGCTTCATGTCAGATTTAAAGGGCCTAGCAGCACAGGGGCAAGTCTGTCATCTTAAAAAAGAAACAATGGTAGATGTTGTGAACTGCATTAACCAAGTCTGTGAAATGTACCTAAAGTGACASAACATGCCAGGCGGAGCAGGAGTCACGTCAATCATCATTCACTGAATGTGAACACAAAGTTCAGAATGTGCCATTCTGAGTAACACAAAAAGTGAAGGATGTGTATTTGGTGTTATTTRATAACAATGCTTCTTAGCAATGAATCTTACAGCAGGCACCTGACTGGCAGCACCTGGGGGGATCAGAAGCTCAAAACAAGAGTCAATAGCAACAGCAAAATAAGCTGTTTGGCAGAGAGGATTTGACTATTTTTTTTTGTGAACAACCCACATACTCAGCTGTACTGTTCATCCCATAAATGCATGTTCCTTACAAATGTGGCACCATTTACCATATTTATTCATGTAGAATACAATCTCATGTATAATACAACCCCCCTTTTTGAGCTTAAAAAGCATAAAAAATTTAATCCTCAAACTACCTCCAATTTCATYCAGACTTCAAGATTTTTCAGCCTTTGTAGTCTTTATACATATCAGTAAAATGATCATTGGACTGTTCATTTTATTTTAACAACATATGTACTAAAAGGTATTTTGAAAACAAATACATATCAGCTGTAGCAGCATCATATGAATTCTGGCATTTTACACATAGTCCTCCAGGATGCGCCAACACAAAAGTCAGAGACTTCACATGAGATTTGGGCCATCTTCTGGGGGCAAAGCTGATTACTTCCTGCTCTCGAGCGCCCCCTCTGGTGGGGAAATGTTTTTTCAGGGATACAAACTTTCAGAACACCATAGACAGCCGCCTTTACAGACGAACATGTGTTTGTTTATGGATGGATGGATGGATGGATGGATATTATACTTGAATAAATACGTTAAAAGGGAAATTATCAGACTTTCCAACTGTATAAGATTTATTGCCAAGAAGCATAGTTACAACAACAAATGAATCCACCAAACACAAATGTCTTTACTTTTTGTGCTAAGGTTGGTTTGTAAAAATGGAAATAGGTTATAAACCTTCTTGAGAATTCATAAAATACTTTCAAGTGTTTTTCCTCATAACTGCACATCCTTTTTGGTCATGTTTGGCACTGAGTAATACACCCTGTTAACTGCAGCCCGCACTGGATAAAMGCTAAAGTGACCCAAAGAGGATTAGTACTAAACCAGACAAGATACAGTATTACAAGATGGCTGGCTGCCTTTCTGCCAACTGGATTGAATCCTTAAAGTTCTTTTGTACAGACCAGTAAAGGTGTGCTTTATTTTGTCAAATTCTTATTAGCTTTAAACTGTCTTTAACAAAATGTACTGTAAAATCTACAATATATACCAAGTAGCAAAATTGCCTTCCCTGCAGCTCTTCATTAAAGTATGAAATGTCGTGCTGTTTTAACAAACGCCTGTAATAAGAAGAGCTGTATGTAGAGATAAGTCCTGGTGTTATGTGTAGCACTCACACATATTATCTTCCAACATGCCTCAAGCAGGTTTAAAGGATGTTATTTTCCTTTTCTACTTATTTAAGGACTCAGAAATGTTTTATGATTCTAAAAACTGAGTGGCTGTRCTAAATCAAACAATAAGAAACCAGAGGATTACCAACATGTCCAACCCTCTATGCTTACATACACAGCCTTTCAGTATCCCTGTCCAAACCCTGCAGCTTTAATTCTAAAAAATGTGTGGTAGAAAAAAAAGGGCTTTTTTTTCCTTAAAAATTTGTAGTGGTCACCCCGGGTGAAATAAACATGCAAAACTATCCTTGACCAAAGGCCTCTAACGGGCCCCTTTAAAGAGACAGAACTCTGTTCAAGCTTATTTTTTTATTTTATTTCAAACTTTATTCATTCCATAAAAACAAAATTCTACGTACAATAAAAAATACAAATAAAATGAAATGAAAGGCGGCAGAGAGAAGAAACAAATCTTATATCTGCCCCTTTTATCTCAAGTATAAAATCTAATTATAATAATCTTCATCTTAAAGCCATAACAGGTTTTCTTAAACATTAAAGAGACTTTTTTTTTCTTCTTAATCAGATAATAAACAGAATGGTGAAGAGAAAAGTGACAGTCTTGGTTATCAAACGCCCTGATTTGAAGGAAGAACATTTTGAGCCCCGCCTGCCTTAACAAAACTACAACAAAATAAGCCAAGTGTTAGTTTAAGTTTGTTTTGGATTTGAGTGACTTAGTAGGTTTGCAGCTTTATGTCTCAGTGGGTCCGCCGCATCTGCAAACACTTAGTTTTCACATCATTTCAAGTGGTGTTTTCAGCTGGATGCTCCTCTTAAATCTACCAACCGAAGCGTCGTACGCCCACATTGACCATTATCACTCAGAAAAATCATCCTTTATTAAAGGTGACACCTCTTCCTGCCACCAAACACTTTTTCTCTTAGAGTTTAGAAGTAAATGCTTCTCTCTGTATGTCATTGCTTCCATCAGGGTGCACAGGCATAAAAGGAAGGAGCAAGCTTGCTGTTTGCTCTAGAACCCCACATGGTCGTGCTTCAGTCTGCTGCAATGAGTGGTCATCCTGTAACGGGTAAATGGAAGCTTCAACCTGACCTTCGACCTGACACCGAACCTTCACATTGTCTCAGATAGGCTCATCCGTGTATGACTGAAAGAAAATAAGCGCATTGCATAAACAGAACTGCAGTTTTGTAATAGAAATCCTCCATGAGTACATGCATGAGTGAATAGGAAGCTCGCAGTAAAGCACTTCGTAGAACCTGAATAAGAGTTAAAGTGTTCTTTCAGTTTGGACCATTTACCATTCTGTGTGAACAATGGTTATTGCACTTCCCCGTCCCTCAGAGCCTTGGCAACCATTGTATGTGGTGAAAACACCACAAACCTAATCAAGGTAATAGGTACAAGAGACACAAACAACTCTATCAGAACCCCTTTGCAATTATCTTCCACAGCTCTTACTGCCACAGGCCTTTCACGAGGCCTCGAGGGACGCAAAATCCTACCACAATCAAACTTTCCACTTTGTCAACAATAAAAACATTTTTTAACCAGGAGAATATGATTTATTCATCTTTGCAAATGCAGAAACGGATAACATCTCTTTGTGAGCAGAATGTGATAAAGCTGCCATCAACAGGTTGATGTAGCAAGGTTTTCTTTTTTCTTTTTTTTTTCAGCAGCTTAACAAACTAACATTCTTTTTACAATGGTCTGGTAGTGGATTGAAAACAGGTTAAAAAATGAAAAAAAAAGAAGCTAAAAACATATGAAATCTGTCTCTGCAAGTAAAATACACAGAAATGAGGAATGACTTGAGACTTTTCCACAAGAGTTACACCGCGTTGTGTTTTTGTTTTGTCTGCCCGGCATTCAGATGAGCTCATTAAAACAGCTTCAGCAGACAGAATGTAAAACTTTGTCCCCTGTTTACCCTCACTTTTATTAGAATGCAGGTTCAAAGGTAGGAATTTACAATCAGAGCACGCAGGTTTGTGTTTACCTCTGCTGAGGGATTGTCCTCGTATATTAGTTCACTAAAACAAAACAAAGTGTGAAATTCTGCCTGCCTTACAGTATTCCTCTTGACTGACTCAAACTGGCGTCTATGTTTAAGCTTTTTAAAGAAGTGTGACAAGGATCGCTTCCATAAAAAGCCTCTGCGTGATCTAATGCCACAACGCCTTCTTATCTTAGCCTGCAGCTCTGACGGGGGGCTGAGCTACTGTGGGAATCATCCCTCTTCTTAAAGGCTGGATGAGGGGTGGTGGTATGCAGCCACTTGGAACAATCAGACCATCTTACTGGGAGACAAGTTCCAGACAGAAACCCCGAGAGGGAAAACATCTTTAGGGAAGGTGTTCTCTGGGCACTGCGGCTGATCGTTTATCGGGCACTGAAAGTCATCATCATCATCACGCTTTACAGGAACGACCTTCTTGGACGATGCTGAGCAGCACTCAGTCTCCCAGCTGCATTCCTGAACCACAGCGATAGTGTGCGGAGAGGATTTTCTCCCCCCACACCTTCTGTGCAATAACTGTCAGAACGTATGAAGAACTGAAGGTCTGTCTGGCTGTTTGGTGAAAACAAACCCCTTCTGTGAGACGGAGGATGAGAAAGTGTAGGAGTCCTTCTGGCACACACCAGTCTTACCTCAACATTGAGTTATTTTTTGTTTTTAATTGAAATGTTGCAGTTCATTACAGCAATTAATATTTGAACTTTAGATGGTAGCTACACAGCAGCTTCCTCTGATCTACTGGTAGCAGTTTAGGTTAAGTACACTACATGGTCACWGTTAGTAATGGTTAGTTGTGGAAGGAACAAATGCAAAAAACACACTGGAGGTTAAATCACAATGAAAAACACCTTAAGGCACAAACACGGTATCTGTGGAAGGGTGATATAGGCAAAAAAATAAAACAGTGAGAGTGCATCGCACAAAAATACGCCATCACATAGCACTATAATTGCAAAGTGGCAAATATTCATTGTTGACAGTTTTTTAGACATTAATTARGCACAATACAGTTTTGACCAACCCTACCTAAAGTGAACCAGCAACATGATGATACAGAGAATCYGACTAAAAGTAAGAAAAGCCAAAAAGTAGTTATGCTGAGATGGGTGATCAGACAACAGCTGCACTGTTTGAATGAGGAGCTGGAGYTGTGTAACGACTTGTAGAGGCTGTAGAATTGATAAACAAGAATCCTCTTGAAACATACAGAAAACGATTCCTCTAAAATACAAAAACCAAGAAAAATCCCCCCATCCATGATAGTCCTGAAACTCAAAATATACTTTGCACAAAAAGTTAGGAAATGTGTGTAAGTAGATTCATGTATAATACAATCTCGAGTATAAAGAAAATAC